AAGACATTTGAAAAAATTTGGTATCATTTATAAGCTTGTTTCTTCATGGGGACCTCAATCCAGGTTCCCAGTGACATGAGTTCCCATGAGTCAGTGTGTACATTCAAGTCCCCAATCGGATAGAAAAACATGTACACACATGCACAACACACACACTTGCTCCCTGTGCAAGCAAAACATACATACACATCTGTTCTATGTACAAACACAAACAACTTAATACAAACAGCTGATTAATTCAGGAATTATGGAAGTGACTAAGGGCCCTTTCACACCTACTTGTTTGGTCAGGACTTTCGGACTTTACAGTTTTGTCCGAATAAAAATTACAGCTGTGAAACCTACACCAGACCAACAATGAAATTTGCTCAGATGAAAAGAGGTAGTATTAGTCTGGATCAAACTGAACAAAGGTTTGGTTCGTTTCTAATGTGAAAGCATTTCTGTATGGTTCGGACTTTCAGACCTTTTACAGGAAGTTCCGGTGGTTCCCGCATAGCTGAAAAAACAGATGGTGGCAGGGAAAATGAGCCGTGGTAACACATGGGGAGAGGAGGAGACGAGGTTTTTAATTGAAGTATGGGTCTGATGACATAATAAGAAGTCAACTTGCAGTCTTCTCCACCTTTCCTGCCGGCGACGATAAAATGTTGGCACAACCAGGACGTTCATTTGGCGAATTTGAACTTGCCTTGTGTATAGTTGGTATTATGCCATAGAAATAACAATATAGTTGCAACAATATCCATCTGTTCATTCATGTAACTTGTCAAAGTTACCCGCCGAATTAACGACACACTGACGTCAGACACTAGTCCATTTACAAAATCAAACAATGTCAAGATGCAGCCCACATATACCCCTTTTCCACCAAAAAAAGAACTGGTTCGGAACTGGTGCTGGTTCAAAGTTGGTTCGGAGTTGGTTCAACTTGCGAACCGCTTCAGAACCTATTTGTTTTTCGACTGACTAGAGCGCCCAGGGAACGCCGTCGTTACGTCACTGTGTACGTCGCCATACGTCTTAGCTAGAAATTACTTTCGGATTATCTCTAACTCGTATACAAGAAAGCTTTAAAAACAATTGAAATATGTAAGTCTTTTAATCTTTTTTCGTTTGATATGTATGATCTTTTATGATAAGTTATGTACCCCTGTAATTGTGTCTTTTTTTCTTTCCATTTATTTGTTCTATATTGTGCTTATATAAAAATGTCTTCAATAAAAAAATTACAAAAATAGAAACGCTTGCGTTAACTTCAAGCATAACAATTACAAAGGCAGACTCCATCGTGTTTCTGCAAATGTTTCTCCTGGATTTGCGATCCTTTATTATGGTCAGAAAAGATGTTTAGAACACATCTAAACCCGCCCCAGCCCCCGACGTAAGCATGACGTGGTAAAAGAACGGTTCTAGTCCAGAAAAGAGTTGGTGCCGCTTTGGCTGTCGAAACACAAAGAACTGGTTCTCGCATAGGCACCGGCTCTGGCTCCGAACCGGCTCTCAAAATGCTTTGGTGGAAAAGGGGCTATAGATGATGACGACAGGACGCAAGTATGTCACATAAAGTTATTTAGTGCGCTCGCATAATTGCAGTGTGAAACCAATCCAAAACTTTCTGAACGTATAAAATGCATCAAAACGTGAACTTTGGTTCGGACCTTGGTGCAGACTTTTATGTGTGAAAAGGTCTGCGCAGTGCCACTTCAATCGAACACACTTAATATCTTTATTAATGAGTCATTGAATTATTAACTCAACCAAGTCATTCAAAAATGTGAATTCATTCAGCAACACAGTGGTTTTTAATCCTGCTCATGGGGACCCGCTTCTCAGCACATTTTGTATGTCCCCCCGTATTTAAAGTATACCTGTGGTGAAAATCAAGTTTTTAATGTTGTTTATATGTCTATGTGGTGTTTTTAATACACTTTAAGATAAAACAATGTGCAAATTGATAAGTTAACACCGTTGCTGAGTATTTTCTCCTTAAAACTGCAGTGAACCAAAGACAGTCTCAGGCTATGTTTACACGGAAACGATTCTGAAGAGAAAACGCAAAAGTGGCGTTGCGTCATCACTTTAAATTCTTCGTTTAGACAAGCATTTTGGGTGGGAAATCCGCGTGCACATGGTGACGCAAAAGTGTATGAAATTCAATGTAGTATGCACTCCAGGCAGCTAGGTGGCAATGTGGAGCACTGCCACACAACAACACCAAGTCCGTGCACCTGCATACAACCTTCACTGTCAAGCAGACTTTTGCGTTTTTACCCTTTACACGGGAACGTGGCGGTGGAGCGTTTTTAAGATTTCCACTCTGGAGGGTGGTTTCAATTTTTTGCATTTTTAAGCCCCAAAAAAACGCTGTCGCTGTGTATTTTTACGTTTTCACCCGCGAGCGTTCTAGTGTAAACAGGGCCTTAAAAGCGCGGTTTGAAATCGCTGGTGTTTCTGACGTCACAAACTACCCTGTAACCAATCAGGTCAACGTGTGACTGTCAATGATGCAATTTCTGAGGTGTGAGTGAGTGGAGGCGGGGCTAATTTGCATAGACCAAAAGTATACTAAATTAGGCAAGGAGTTACATTCAAGCTATTTTGAGGCATGGAGGCATTTTTTTTTTCAAGGAAAAACCAATTCCATATGTAAATGTGGTGCTCAAAGATGCGTTTTAAGGGATAAAATGATTGACACACCTGACCTGATTCAGACTCTCAGCTCATTAGGTGAGCTTCATGATGGGGTGAATCCCACTTAGAGAAAGTGAGCATCCCTTTGCCCTACTCACTCTGAAGGCCAGAAGTGGGGACTTTTGAGTTAGCATCGCACTTGTGTGTCGTAACGTACCCATTGAAGAAGAGAGCAATGAAATGTATGAAAAAATGTGTGTAACATATTGCATAACAAACAAAACAACTTGACGTATTCTGTTTATACGCTAACTGGAACTCTCCTCTCATCCAGCTTTAAAATAAAATGCGAGGTTTCACAACCCTGGATCACATCACCATAAAAATTACTTCCTTAAAGTTACCATCTCATGTACCCTCTGCTAATTGCCTACTGAACTGAGTCTGTCAGATAAGAGAGACAGACAAAATGTGCAGAGCAGTGGGTCCCTAGGACCAGGATTTAAAACACAGCCGTAACAAAACACCACTGCATTTTGCTCAGAGTTGTGCAACGGCTCTGTTGTGGCTTTTTAGAGCTATTTTCGTTGGCAAAATAGAGTAAAAACAGATGCTCACGTTGCCTGATCATCATCTCTTCCTCTTTAATACTAGTAGTTGCAGCAAGAAATAAGGTGTGTTGAAAGGTACAATACAACTTACTAAAATGAATCCTGTCTCACATATTCCCTCAATCAGCGTTTCAACCGAGGAAAGACGTCAATAAAACAGCTTGTAGGCTAATGTTATGTCACTTAAAGTACCTCAAAAAAGCTATTTAATGTCTATAAAACTCATTCAATAGCTAGAAAAATAAAAGAGCAATTTGCTAAATATATGCACTTACATATTCATTATATGTTCACTTAACCTGCAAGTGATGTCTTCATTATTTAATGCATGTTTGGATAAATCGGTCTTGAAGTTATTACAGTTTATAGTCATTAAAAAATGTTCATATTTCACCATCAAACTGAAGGAGAACTCAATTCTGTTATTAAACAGTTGATATAAAAATGCCTTATGTGTCATTTAACTGTTTGTAGAACTCACTTTTACTGAGGTAAGTTAGATTAAAGAATTGATGATTCCTAATTGATTTTTTGAAGTGTATCCTGAATTTTTGGGTGCAGCCCAGAATTTTCATTTCGGTACATCAGTAATTTTATGGAGACAAAATCTATACTTACTCTTACTATACTAAAGGATCTGTGTTTAAAAAAAAAAAAACATTTTGTAGAAATTAAAAAATTTAACACTGTCAGATGATAAAAACAGTGATTGAAGACTGTAACTTAATATTTTTAATAAGACGTACATTTATCACATTTATTTGATAGTTACTATTTTATGGACTGGTCCATATCATGAGAAGGGTTATTTATTTTTCATTAATATTAATTATTTTTTCTTTTGCGACCCTTAAGAATATCTAAAAGATACAAACCAAATGTGCTCATGATGAAAAAATAAAAACAAATATTGTATTCATCACTCCTTCCTGGTGATGTAAACGCGCTCAGGAAGAGTTATTCTGTAATATTCTCCATCAAAAACTATAAAATATTCAAAAATATAACACATTTATTGTTACGATATAAAAACAGGCTATGTTTGAATTGAGGTGAAAATGTTTAAAGATCTAACATCAAATTTCCTGTAGCTCAAACAGAAGATGAATGCGTTTGAAACAGTGATGGGTTCGTTTTACCAAGCAAAACAAAAACTATGTACCTTAATCATTGTAAGTCACTGTGGATAAATGACTGCATTTGCAATGTACATTTAATGTGAATGTAGCCTAACATTGATAGCTGGCAGAGCTAAGATACACTCAGTGACAATATAATGAGAGCTAACTTTCGTAAGGTATAAGGGACTTTATATTTTATATTTTAAAACACATATAGCCGTCTTTATATTTTAGAAGGGGGTCCTCAAAGCAGATTACCGTATTTGGGGGTCCGTCAAAAAGTCTGAAATATGTAACAGTGCTTCTGCCCACCTACTAATATGGCATGCTACTGGTGTAAATGGTCGGGTTTGGCAGTTCTCGGAACATTGTGCTCTTAGATTTAAAAAAAACTGACAGGTCATGTCGACAAATGCCACATATTACTAATACTAAACGCACGAATGTGTTTACTCTCATAGTATGTAGGCGCAAAGTGTCGACAAACAACCTTTAAAAAAAAAAAAACATATCAGCTACTTCCTGCTTTAGATACAGCGCTGATGGGCAACTTCTTTATCTCCTTTAAATATTAAAAAATAAATAATATTGAAAAAAAGTATTGAAAACTGATTATGAGGTAGCATTTACTTACAGGCAGATGAATGACGGTGTTTATTTCAGTTTAGTTGTCCTATTACAGGATTCACATCTTCAGCCACTGACGCGCACAACAGACATGTTGAGTATTCTTCAGTCTCACTTCGTGACCTGTTACCACCAGTATCGGCGTAAGATACTGTAAGCAAGCCTTCAAAACCTTCGAAGCCTAGTGAGCTGCCTACTTAGAAACCATGGGCCAACGACAGGGGCGTGTCAAGCGCGAATAACATGCTGCCCGTGTAGGCAGGTCGTAAGATATTGAGACGCAGCCAACATATTATATTTTCTGTTTGCGTACATAAGATCTTCAAATTAAAAGTTCTAATAACTCATAGAATGTCTATGTTACTCCAAACACACACATATAATTAAATATTTAAGTATAGTGCATCGCTTTTATTCAATAGACCTACTAATATAAACTAAATTAATTTCAAAAAGAATTAAAATACAATAAAAATATTTTTTATTTAAAAATACAAACACAACAACAACACACACAACACACACACACACACATAAAAATTAATACACTTCATCTAATCAATAAAATTGTGGCAACAGATTACAAGCAATATTATTAATTAAATCGAACAAATTAGAATTTAGTAATAATTAATCAAATTATTCCCTAAAAGTTAACCATTTAAAATGAGTAAAGTTTATACCAAAAAATTAAACAAAAATATCTGAATAACAGACAGACATCAAAGATTAATTAAGAACTCTTTATTTTTTATTGCCAACATTGAAGACACCTGATGTTAACAAGCAGAATCACTGAAGGAGAAACCTAAAACAAACCACGATCACCATAATAGCGACTTAAATGTAATTTTTTTGTAAGTTTTATTCATTTTAAATGGTTTACTTTAAAGGAATTAATTTGAATAATCACAACTCAATTCTAAATTGTTAAATTGAATTAATAATATTTATTGTATTCTGTTGCACCATTTTTTTTTTTTTTTTTTTTTTTTATTAGATAAAGTGCATTCATTTGTACAGTGTAGATGCTGAAAGCATTCTTTAGAAATGTTGGCCCTTTTTGATAGGATAGCATCTTGCAGTTGATGGAGATTTGTGGAATGCACATCCAGGGCACAAAGCTCCCCTGGCCATAAAGGGATGGACATGGTCAGAAACAATGCTCAGGTAGGACATGGCATTTAAACGATGCCCAAATGGAACTAAGGGGCCTAAAGTGTGCCAAGAAAACATTCCCCACACCATTACACCACCACCAGCCTGCACAGTGGTAACAAGGCATGATGGATCCATTCATTTCAGTGCTACATAAATAAATTGATAGACTAGAGCTATTTGTTAGAAGTAGCACTTAGTAGCATCTTAAATGCTAAGATTTACATGCTCCTTCAATCAATGCAAAAGAAAATAATGAAATTAATTAGTCGACAGCTAAACAAAATGCTCAACTCTTCTCCACAATGGTAACCTGCTGTAATTTAAATGGTTTAATAATTCCAATGTAATTTAACATTAAACACAATTACACACTATCAAGTCTTCCCCCTTTTTAAATTTCTAAAAAAAAAAAAAACGCCATAAAATAACACTTAATTTTAACATTTATTCTCTCTTAATTTAATCATATGCAGTATCGTCTTGCGATTTGAATATGTTTAGTGAAAGGTAAAACTTCCGAAATCTCCGTGTAAACAATGCGTGACGTAGACGCGCCAGAGATCACTTCCGGCGTAACGTTGAACACGGTTCAGTTCGGTTCAGGTCGACATACATAGCTGTTAGCAAGAGGTAAAAAATATATAAATACTGTTCGTTTTCTCAAACAAACCGCTTGTTTCGTGTCTTAGGCCATCAGTGTGTACAATGAGCACAGAGAAGTCAAAAATAAACATGATTTAATGACTCAAGTCGTGACAGACAACACCGGTTTGACCGAAAAATGTCAAAATTGTAAATACTGTGGAAAAAAAGACACCTACATCTTGGATGCCCTTGAGGTAAGCTAAAACATATCAAAAATTAATTTCAAAGTGAACTATCCATTTAAACAGCAATATCTGTGTGTAATGATACTATATAGATGAGATTAGGCATCAAAGAATGCAGGACAACAGGGCAAACAGGATACAGTCTTAAAATAGTTCATAAGTTTAACAAGGCATGCCCAGGAGATTCTTAAAAGTTGTTCAGCATCATTACTTCAGTCTTCAGTGTCACACGAGCCTTCAGAAATCATTCTAATATGATGATTTGCTGCTCAAGAAACAATTATGATTTTGTTGGAAACAGTTCATATATGTTTGGAAACCGACATTTTATTTTTCAGGATTCTTTGATGAATAGAATGTTCAAAAGAACAACATTTATTTGGAATAGAATCTTTTGTTACATTAGACATGTCTTAACTGTCACTTTTGATCAATTTAATGCAACCTTACAAAATAAAAGTATTAATTTCTTTCCCAACATTTAAAAAAAATACAAATTCTTACTAACATCAAGATTTTGAATGGTATAGTAGTGTAAAATGCTAAAAATGTTTCTATTTCTGTTTCAGATTTGAACTTTCTATTAATCAAAGTCAAATAAATTAATTAATTTTAAAAAAATCAAAAGATTGTATACAACTGTTTTCAACATTGATGATAATCATAAATGTTTGTTGAGCATCAAACATCATCACATGATCCTCCAGAAATCAAAGACGTGAGTAATGATGCTGAAAATTCAGCTTTAATAACAGATTGTATTGTATTTTTATGTTCAATTGTAATAATTTTTCATAATATTACTGTTTTGATTGTATTTTGGATCAAATAAATGCAGGATTAGTGAGCAGAAGATACTTTTGAATTGTACGTCCAACAGAATGATTCTAGCTTTTTCAATGTAGCCTATTTACCCTAAAAACAACTGGATGATTGATGTGACGCTGTGATGATAATGTTTCTTCCAAAAAACTTAATTAAATGCATGAAAATAGTTTATTAGGTACATATAAATTGTGCCAAAACAGGCTGTCAGTCTGTGTTGGTGGGGATTTTTCAGTTCATACGATTTCCATCATATTTCCCACACAGTGACGTCCAGTAGGTGGCGGGAAAGGACTGTTATGAGTGAGTAAGTCAGTCAGTCAGCAGACTGTTCAACCATTTCATTAAAAAAGGCTGCTTTATTCAGGAGCAAACAATGCTATGGATATCATTGTCAATCAATCATTGCTATTTCAAGAGGGAATCCCGCATAAACGCGGATGTAGCCTAATTCCCCAAACTTTGCAGCGTGTACATGGCCATTCGACCAAGAAGCATGAAAATCAAGTTTTATACAAATTCTGAATGAATAGTCCTAGAAAGCATTGAAAAAGCGGACAACTAACGCTTCCTAATCATAATTTGCCTACTAAAAAGCTGTTACTCATCTTCACAGAGATCTCTTGCACTCCCGCAGAACCGGCACTATTAATAATGAAAAATGAATAAATTAAGCCTAAATGTTTCCAATTTATGTAATACAAAAATCACATTTGCCATAATATATATTTTTTTAATTTATTATATGTAAATGTACTTATTTAAATCATATTTATAATGTACATTTTCACATGTAATGTTTTACATGTACTAATGCTTCTACAATTTTCCTTTCTTTAAAACACAATGCTTCTTTTTACTGTAGGCTAATGAATAGCCTACTTTTGATATACTTCAATAAAAGGATGCTAAAAAACTCCCACTAGAGGGAGCAATTCGACAAACAAACACTCACTCACTCAAAGCAGGTGGATACAAACTTCAACGATTCGAAAACAATAAACATGATCAATAACTGCAAGTTAATTTTGACCACCCATAACATATTCCTACTATATCATACACATATTACAACTACTCCCTGAGAAAGTATACTTGTTTTGTTATAGGCCATGCTTTGAAAACAGCTTCGAAGATCATGCTTGAGGTATTCGTGTGTAAATATAGTCTTTTAAAATTAACCACAATCAAAATAATCTGGAGTGAACTTATCAATGTTAAAATGCAAATCATCTCTCGGTTGGAGGTCCTCCATCTGTTTCCTTGAAAGCACAATGCTTCCCTTTCCCGAGCTACTTCCTCTTCTATAGTCAACATTTTGAAGTGGATCAAAAAAGTTCATCAAAGTTGTCCTAAGACAAGAATGGGTATTGTTCAAAATGAATTAATAAAATGAATACAATAGTAGAGTGTAAGTGTATATCAAACTAATCATACTTCCCCTTTTCGCCTAACATTCTACCTTGAACAAAATGTAGCTATATCGTGTCCATGTTCTGTGCTGACCATGACAAAATCAAAAATATACTGTATGTCAAGATATACTGAGTAGGCCTAATCAATTAAGTAACCGAGGGTCAAAAGGTGGGGGCTTGCTTTTACAAACTGAACCAATCATATTGATAGAAGGACACATTAATCACAATGATCGTATATGTTATCTTTCTCTATTCTATAAAAACTGTTGTATTGCTTTTGTGTGTGGGTTTCTCTCTGAAATTTGTCTGGGATCTGGCCGAAGTCGATGAGGAGACGCGCTAGAGTATAAATATTATAGGAAACTACTACGCTATCTCACGACCAATTCGTACGAGTTCGTACGAGTGATTAAAAAGTGGCTAAGCATATTAATTCATACGACCTCACTCGTACGAATTGTCCAAACCCACGTGATGGGTAGGTTTAGGGGCGGGGTCAGGGGTAGGTCATTCGTACGAATTCATACGAATTGGCCAATTCGTAAAGTACGTACGATTTAGCAAAAACGTACTAATTCGTACGAGTGAGGTCATACGAATTGTTACGAATTAGCCACCTCATAAAATTCGTGCGAATGTTCGGGGACGATGATTGTAGACGAGACCCAGGTAGACTTAGGTCAGGTGCGTAGGGGAAAAATCTAGGAGAAAAAACTCTAGCCTACTTTAGTCTCGTTGACCTTATTTCTCAATGCATTGGTATTTCCTGCATTTGGTTGCAGAAAAACTTCCCATAATAAAACCACCAGTTATATCACCTAATTTTTGTTTAGAAAATGAAGAGTCATTGTGTACAATTTTATATTGTATTAAATTTTGAATTGAAAATAGAAGATGTTTGAATCAGTGATTAAATTTGCCCGGTTTATATGCTGAATCACATTATT